ACTGTGTTCTAAAATAAAATTTAAATAAAATAAAAATAAATAATAAAGTCAGGATCTTAAAAAATCATGGCATCATTGTCCTGAGTTCCATTGACCCCAGGAAATTGATTTTTGAAGTCAGTAAAACGGTAGCATGGACTTCCATCAAATCGCAAAAGAAAGCCAGGGAATTAATAGCTCAGAGAAGGCCGTCCCTTTCCTGGAAGACAGCACAGAATTTGGACTGGGAAAAAATGCCCAAATTTCTAGACAATTTTATTCCATCATACGCTTTCTGGTGGTTTTGCTGTTACCAACCACAGCTTTGGTAGCGGTGCCGGCCTTTACCTTCGGGAAAGATTAATATGGGCAAATTTCTCTTATTTCCGCGATATGTTCTCTTTTATCTGCGAAGAAAAAAATAAAGGGATCAAAATTCTACCTTTAAAAGAAGTAGGTGGAAGGTCCTTTCAATATTTTTGTGCTCTTCCTGACAAATGATAAATTTTAAAGCAATAAGGAGAAAATTATAAATAAGATATTTAAATAGAGAAATAAACTCAAGTTTGTTCCCTTTTCTAAAAAGTATGAGGAAGGATCTTGCACAGGTTTCAATGTCTAATTTTCAAAGTGAGTGGGCTGCTGGCCTGCTCTTAAAGAAAAGACTTACTAGGCCAGGCGCGGTGGCTCACGCCTTCATCCTAGCACTCTGGGGAGGCCAAGGGCGGGGAGATCCGCTCAAGGTCCGAGGTTCGATACCCAGCCTGAGCAAAAAACGAAAAGGACCGTGTCTACTAAATAGAAAGAAGTAAATTGTACAACTACAAAGTATTGTTAAAATAAATTAGCAGCCTTGGTGGCGGCATGCCTTGCAGTCCAGCTTATCGGGAGGCAGAGGCAGGAGGGGATTGCTTGGAGCTCAGGAGGTTGGGAGGTTGCTGTGAGCGGGGCTGACTCCCATGGCACTTCACTCTAAGCCTGGGCAACACAGTGAGGACTCATGTGTCTCAAAAAAATTAAAATAATAATAAGACCACTCGGGCAAAAAGCTGCTTCGGTTTTTCAGCAATTTTCTGGGTAAGCTCAGCTCAGCCTCCAAGCCCGGAGGGTCCTTCTTTCACGCTCTTTCCCTAGGCTGTATCCAACTGGGATAGATGTCATCCAAACAACACAGGCCAACACCATCTGTTTGTTTTAGAAAAGTTATCAACGATTTAAACCTCCAAGGGGATAATCTTAACCTTGAAATGTCCAGAGGACTTGCACCATTACCTAAGGCACGGCAATATACCTTGTTTACCCAGAAAATTAACCCTCCCCATACAATAAGCCCAGCAGGATGGTCTTGGGGCAGTGCACAACAAGAAGCCCTTACCCCATTTTAAGAGCTTACTAAAAAAATTATACAAAAAAAAAAAAGTAGAAAAAAAAAAAAAAAAAGAAGCCCTACCCTGAAAATCAGCCTAGTGATGGGCTGGCTATGAAAAACACCCCTGGTTTGCGTGGGCAGTGGCTATGAAAATCAGTTCCTAGTGATAGGTGTGGCTTATGAAAATCAGCCCTAGTGGTGGGTGTGGCTGCGCAGCGCATGCACAAAAAAACCCATGCGTTTCCGTCCTCCCGGAGTGGGAAAGAGGAACAGGGAGCAGCCCTTTCTCCCGCCCCGTGAGAGCTCTATGCTCGGCAGGGGGAGAAGAATCGGGCCAACAGCTCTAAAGGAAATAGGAGTCCAAGGGACATTCAGGATGGGATTTGGTGTTGGAGAAGTGAGGATACTTCATTGTGTTTGAAATGCAATGTAGATTTTTACCATACTTAAAAAAAAAACAAACCAACATCCCAGGAAAATAAGCCCCTAGGAGTTTATTCTTGAGGAAAAAAAATAATCTAAAGATCCTGTCTTATTTTGGGAAACATGGTAACATACATGGCCTTTTAATATCCCATCACAAATTCCTTATCACTACAGAATTAAAAATTTTTTAAAATCCAGCTGAGGCCGGGCGCGGTGGCTCACACCTGTCAATCCTAGCACTCTGGGGGGCTTGAGTCAGGAGGATCGCTCAAGGGTCAGGACTTCGAGATAATCCCTGAGCAAGAGCGAGACCCTGCCTTACTTAAAAATAGAAAGAAACAATGAGCTGGGCATGGTGGGCGCATGCCCTGTAGTCCAGCTCCTTTGGGAGGCTGAGCAGCGAGGATGGCTTTGAGCCCAGGGAGTTTGAAAAGGTTGCGGCGGAACTATGATGACACCACTGCACTCCGGCCTCGTCTCCAACAAAAAGATTGTACCAGCTTTTGTGCTTACCAAGTGAACACTGAGTAACGTTTTAACTGTTACCTCTTAGTAACCAGGTGTCGATCCTTCATTCTGAGCGTTTCCAAACAAGGACATGGTGGAACAAAGCTTGACCCATAGCTCTCTGAATAATCCCCATCAACCCACCGTGAACCCTGGGCACCTAGAATACCATTGACAGAAAGAGAAAAAATAGTAAAGGGCACAGTTATCCAAAAGGACAGATTTTTTTTTTTTAAGTTACCATAAGTTCTATTCCCCACAGGGGATCAGAATTTGGCCTTAGTCTTTGTTCTTAGCCTGCTCAAAAGACCTTGAACGGGCCAAATGTAAGGCCAAAAGGTACCTCTTTAGCCGCAACCTTTTCAATTTTCAAGTTGCATTGCTGCATTAGCTTAGCCTTTCTACCTTTAATAAGTAGGGTCCTTCAACTTAGTTCAAAGAATTAGAGAAATAGGAAAATATACACTACACTTTTTTTTTTTTGATACAGAGCTTCACTCTGTTCGCCGGGGGCTCAAGGCCATGGCATCAGCTCGCTTCTAGCAACCTCAAATTGTGGGCTCAAGGCGGATCCTTCTGCCTCAGCCCCCGAGCAGCTGGGACTATAGGACATGTGCCACACATGCCACGGCTAATTTTTTCTTATTATTTTTAGGTTGGCCAACTAATTTCTTTCTATTTTAGTAGAGACTGGGTTCACTCTTGCTCAAGGGCTGGTCTTGAACTCCTGGACCTTGAGCATTCCTCCCGGCCTCCTCCTCAGGCCTCCTGCGTGAGTACCAGCTAACTTTAATGCCTTTTCAAAACCCATTTCCCATTGGCCAAAGGGTGGCTTAAAGCTTCCCTTAGGGTCAGAAAGAACTCTTATTACTTAGGAGAGGTTTTTCTCATAACGTAGTTAAAAAAAAGTTGTCCAGGGTTACTGTATCTGCATCTGTATTTTATTTAATTTTATTTTCCAAAGAGGATGGACATGGAATGGCATCTGTATTTTTGATAGATGAAACACATGGCAATAAGTGGAAATTTTTTACAGAGGGCTTCAATAAACCCCTCAAGACCGTACAACCCACAAATAAGTCAAAAACCACCTGCCCATGGGCCAGCTGTCCCCACCCTCCTCGGAGCGGGACTTTCCCCTCAAAACGCCTTCCAGAAACCCCCAGGCACCACCGTGGATATTCAATCCCCTGGAGCTGGTTGGTAAGGGAGATAAAAAGCGGCCTGCTGTCCCTGACGTCCACCGCCCACACGGACTATGAGAAGGAAACATTCCCCCTGGGAACCCCTGGGGGCCAGTCATTCTGCTCCACACACTAACTCGGAGCGTATTTCAAATACATCCTGCATCTTCGTGTCATTTTGCAAGAATTTACCTTGACATTACATAAAGGTGAGGTAGGAAATGTTGACAAATTTGTAAGGGCAACAGAAAACAAATATTTGCCTTCTTGCTAGAGCCTCATTAAAGAGCTAGATTTTTTTTTTTTTTTAATTGCACATAATTGCCTGAAGGAACAGAGATATTGCTGGGCTAGGGGGATTTGTACCAACTCCCAGGAGTTAAAGAATTTGTACGTGCAAAAGACATTATTTTTAAAAACACTTGCCCAGGGATTTTTACAAGAAAGAATGGAATGAATCGACTCACAAGTCCTGTCCAACCTCCAAGTATGTCCTTCATTTCAGCAAGTTAATTTTTTTACTACTTAAAATATAATGGGCGATTTCTTCCTTTCCCTTGCACTATGATTTCTCATGTAAAATATATTATATAACTTCATATAAAGCTACAACATATTAATATATTGCAATAATATTATTATATGGCTATAGTATAACCCAGTTGAATTTCTTAATGTAACATCAGGCCTTTCCAAAACTTGTTGCCAAAATACAAGTTTGAGGCAATGCATAAAACATGCAACCAACCTGCGGTATCAGGCGAGCTGCTCTTCCATTGCTAGCCAATCCGTCTGTTGTCAAGAATTTACCGGTTCTATTGGAGGGTGGTTGGCGACGCAAATGCCTCCCCTTTGGGGTCTGTACTGGCTGCAATCAACGACAAACAACACGGCAAACGCTAGGACCTTGAAAAAGTAGGCACTATTTCGCAGAACAGCCTAAAGAGCTCATCTTGTTTTTTTAAGAGCATTATTTTAAAATACAGTTCGGTGGTACGTGGCCCATCTTTAAAAAGGTTATTCTTAGGCCGGGCGCGGTGGGCACGCCTTGTAATCCTAGCACTCTGGGAAGGCCGAGGGGGAGGGATCGCTCGGAGGTCGGGAGATCGGCGGGGGGTTGACCAGCCTGAGCAAGAGCGGATGACCCACCTCTGCCGATTACTCTAGTACCTGATCCCAAACCCCACAAACCCCAGGCTTTCCGGCTCCGATTCCCTTGTACATTTGAGAGGCAGTGTTTCTGTCACTCAGCGGTCATGACTATCAGAGGCACAAGGGGTTAGATAGATGGCTCCCAATATTAAGGGCACCCACTCGATGCTTCCAGGGACATTTTCCTTCAGGCAAACAAGAGCTCTTTTGGATTCAAAGTGATTTTCTTTGGTGCATTTTAAGACACCCGCCGGAGCAGTAGGACGAACCCTGGGACACTTCGGAGTCCAACCTTGCTTTCCTCCCACCTCGCTCCCACGACACTCTCCCATCCCCACCGGGTGTCCCTAGGGACAGGCGGGCAGGGGGCGGCGGACACTCACTTGTTATGGTAACGGATGGTCCCAGACAGGGCTCGCACGCAGATCCGGCAGCAGGTCAGGTGGACCAGCTCGCTCAGCCTGGTTTTGAGGCTGGAGGAAAAAGAAAGCACGTTACCGTGCGGTTCCGAGCAGTCCTAAGAGACAGCGCGGCACGAGCGGCACTGTCGTCTTTCACACCTGATGCTACTCTGCTCTGTTGAAGAAGGCGCAGTTCAACTCTTACAGCCTCATCGGTGCCTTTTGCTATTAGGTGGCAAAAGGGTACCAAGAGCGTTGGACATCAACTCCAGTGGAAAGTAGCTCCCGCCCCCACTAGACTACTAAGAGAAATTCCTGACACTTGAAGCTTCTCTGGTCTTGGGGTTACGAGCCTGCCAATATGTATCTAAGACTCTTTCTTCGAGGCCGGGCGCGGTGGCTCACGCCTGTGATCCTAGCACTCTGGGAGGCCGAGGCGGGAGGATCGCTCGAGGTCAGGAGTTAGAGACCAGCCTGAGCAAGAGCGAGACCCTGTCTCTATTAAAAAATAGAAAGAAATTAGCTGGACAACTGAAAATATATAGAAAAAATTAGCCGGGCGTGGTGGCACATGCCTGTAGTCCCAGCTACTCGGGAGGAGGCTGAGGCAGGAGGATCGCTTGAGCCCAGGAGTTGGAGGTTGCTGTGAGTGAGGCTGATGCCACGGCACTCACTCTAGCCTGGGCGACAGGGTGAGACTCGGTCTCAAAAAAAAAAAAAAAGAAAAAAGTGTACCAAGAGCGCTGGACATAACTCTAATGCAGAGTAGCTCCTGCCCTTCTAGACTACTAAGATAAATTCCTTTAACTGAAGCCTCTTTGGTCTTGGTCTTACGAGCCTGCCAATATCTAAGCCTCTCTCTTTGCTTTGAGTTTCTCAATTCATTTCCTGTCTTTTCATTTCTCCTTTGAAAAAACAACTTCTTTCAATTTATATGGAAGTTAAGATGGAAAATCAAATAAGACAAAGTGAGCAGAATTCTAATAAGAGACCATAAGTGTAATGCAATACGTAAGAACCAAACAAATGTTCTCTCTGTGGACACAGCTAAGAAAAAGGACAATCCTACTTATGGCTGGACGGAAGAAAACATCTCACCTGCTGTCTGGCAGCTGCCCAACCAGCGTGGTTCCTATAACCAGCAAACTGATCCCAATGAAAGCCAAAGTAACCCTAAAAAAAAAAAGAAAAAAAGAAAGAAAGAATAAGTTGTAGAGTATCCACATTCTGGAATATGATGCAGTCATCAAAAGAATTGGGTAAATCTATAGATTCTGACATGAGAGAATGTTCCCAATACATTTTGAGAGACAAAAGGCAAAGTAAGTTTCAGAATAATATACTGAGTGGGATACCAGCATTTTCAGAATAAGGACAAGCACGAATGTGTAGCGAGTCTATACATGCACAGAGAAGACCTGGAAATTTGCTTACAAAAGTTGTGTGAAATTCAAGCTGCATAATCATCAAAGGGTCAAGAGGGCTAGTGAAAGAAATATGTTTAAAAGCTCTTTCATAAGAAGAACATTAAAAAAAATATATCACTGCAAATAAAAATGTAAAACTAATAACAACAACAAAAATACATCACCGGGCAGGAATCCTTCTGTGCAAATCTAACTGTTGTCCTTTTGCATGGTTGAAAATAACTCAGAGGCGAACCAACAGGGTGACTGACAGTAACACTAACCTTCAACTAGACATTTTCTCATTTCTGAAGAGTGCTTTTCATAGGAATGTATTTTCTCTTCAAAAGGAAAATACTAATTTTTTTTTTAGAAATATAAATAGAACTGCTCGAAAAGAAAAGGCTAAGGTTTAAAATTCGTCAAGATAAATGGGATTTAGTTAAAAGTGAGGGGGGAAAAATCAATAGTTTAATTACATTTTACTAATAAGATTCTTGAAAGCGTCCTACTTTCTCAAATGGAGAAAGCAGAAATTTCAGATTGTCTGGCCGTCGTCTCGGATGGCACCAGATCGGTGGCTTCTAGCTGTCTGCGGGGCCTCACCCCATGTTGGTGGGTGCGTGGAGGGGGGGTGTTTATTCCGCAGCCGGACTGAAGGGACCCCCCACTGCAGATGGGAGGGACCCCTGGGTTTGGGAAGCCACAGCGGCTGCCTGAGGTCAACAGTCAGGATAGCGACCGTCCCCAGGGTCGGGCTGGTTTGCTCCTGACAAGTTTCACTCTTTCCCTCCTAACCAGACAGCTGGAGCACAGACGAGATTATCTTACCCAACCTGGGGTTTTACATGGGAGGATGATTTAAAAAAAAAAACAAAACCCAGCTAACACTATGTACCAGGCAATATTCTAGGTAATCATCCCCAAAACTCTATGAGGCAATAATATTTTCATCATCCCTGTTCTACAGATGAAGGAATTGAGGCACAGAAAGGTTAAATAACTAAACCAAGGTTCCCCAGCCAATAAGCAGCGCAGCCGGGATTTGAAACCAGGAAGTCTGGCTCCAGAATCCACGCTCCTGAGCAGTATGTTATTCTTTTTTCTCAATAGATGATGATGATGATGGTTTAACAAAGCAGTTGAGTATTGTTTTTTTGGTTTTTTTTTTTGGGGGGGGGCTCAAGTTTGAGTATCGTTTAATATAAAAAATAGCTTAAGGCAGCAGTCCCAACCTAGTTGGAGCAACACCCCATCAACAACACATCTGAGGGGCCGGGCGCGGCGGCTCACGCCTGTAATCGTAGCACTTTGGGAGGCCGAGGTGGGAGGATCGCTCAAGGTCAGGAGTTCAAGACCAGCCTGAGCAAGAGCGAGACCCTGTCTCTACTATAAATAGAAAGAAATTAATTGGTTAACTAATATATATAGAAAAAATGAGCCAGGCGTGATGGCGCATGCCTATAGTCCCAGCTACTCGGGAGGCTGAGGCAGGAGGATCGCTTGAGCCCAGGAGATGGAGGTTGCTGTGAGCGAGGCTGATGCCACGGCACTCTAGCCTGGGCGACAAATTGAGACTCTGTCTCAGAAAAAAAAAATAAATAAACAACACATCTGAGAATGTACCCCCATATGTTAGAGTGATGTATGTACACTGATGGCTGATATCGTGCACACTGAAAAAAACTGTAAGCATGAAGAACGTAAAAAAGATTTTTAAAAATTTATAAATATTTTTATTTTCGAAAATATACTATTTTACAATTATGTACATTCAGCTGGGCACAGTGGCACACACCTGCAGCCGCAGCTACCTGGGAGGCTGGGGCAGGAGGATCCTTGAACCCCAGGAGTTCAAGTCCAGCCTGGGCAACATAGTGAGACCCCATCACAAAAAAATAAATAAATAAAATAATAAATATAAGTGTTTCAAAATATTCTGGCCTCACTCAAAATATAATTAATAATGCATTAATATAGCAATAACTATAATTTATTAATTTTATAATTTAATCATATACTAATTATATTATAATTTAGATGAGATATATTAATAGATGTTAATAAGTACAATTAATGTTATCAATTATATTTTGAGTGAGAACAGAGCATTTTGAATATGCTCCCCTATAAATACCTTGTTTAGCTGTTAAATCTTACAAAAGTCTTGGTTTAACATCTTTTGACATAGTAATTTGAATGTCACAGTGTCTAGACTCTGTCCACGTTGGTCACTGATGTAATAACTAAATCATTTCTTAATCTCATGCATAAATTATGCAAAAATTGTTAAAGAATGTTTTGCCACCTTGCCCCAATGAGAATCATTTATCCCTAAACATCAAATCGGAAAGGGTTGCGTTTTAACGTGTTTAACGATTGGGTTCAAAACTATTGAAACTTTTTATTTGCTAGCGTAACAGGCCAGAAAGTTCTGTTCCATCCTCTTAGCATGTATTAAAGGAGGCTTAACTTTTCCACTTCCTTTTTGTTCTTAGATGCTGACATTACCGCACCTGATCTCAGCCAAAAGGTTGAGAAGCAGTGGATGCTTACATTATTCTTGGATCTTTTATACCACGTGTCTTTTTTGTGAGCGTTAGTTTAGTTAAAATTAGGCAACAGAATCACACCACCATTTCCTGGGCGCCCACAGCATGGCGAAAGCTAACGCACAGCGAATGAGAGCATCTAAAGTCCTCTGTGTTGTAGAATTCCTCACTCTTCCCCTAGTTAACCTTGGATGTGGTGTCTGACCCCATGGACCAGGTGACGGTGCAAGAACTCAACCACGTATCAAACTTTACTAAAGCTTCATTTCTTTTCAAAAATAAAAACAGAATACGTGGATGCCCTAATGGTGAATATTATAGAAGCTTTTAATAAATATTTAACCAAAGCTCTAATATTTCCTTCCTCCTCACCAGTGGATACTCTTGTGGGTTTCCAGAGTGCACGAACCCCACTCTGGGAGCACTGGACAAGGTCCAGGCAAAAGTGCATGTGATTAGCACTCTGGGAGGCCGAGGCGGGAGGATCGCTCGAGGTCAGGAGTTCGAAACCAGCCTGAGCAAGAGCGAGACCTCCTTTTTGTTCTAGTTGCTTTCTTGAATTCGAGTGCTAGGATGGGTCTACCATTTGGTTCGCCGTGACCACCCACCTGGCTTCTCTCCTTTTTTGAACATTACCTGCGAGGCGCACGTTCAGGGTGCTGTGCGTGTAATTTACCCTTCCCACTCTTGGAAACAGCCCTCAAACGAGCTTCTGCAGCGAGTGTTAAGTTCTCTCTTCTCCTTCTCGTTACTTTCTTTCCCCCAATGAAGATGTGCATTTGAGAATCCCAATGTACATTGAAATACGCCTTGGATTGGATCCACTTTGCTGTTGCAGTTCATTGATAATTCGATGTCGGAGGGTAGACAAGGAAGTTAGCAAAAGAGGAGGAAGAAGAGCCGGGGCTGGTGGCTCACGCTGATAATCCTAGCTTTGGGAGGCCGAGGCGGGCGGCAGTTGGCTCAAGGTCAGAGTTCGGAAATCCACCACCTGCAGCAAGAGCGGAGACCCCGTCTCTACTAATAAACAGAAAGAACAATTGGTGCAACTGATATACTATATAAAAAATTAGCCGGGCATGGTGGCGCATGTCTGATCCCAGCTATCGGGAGAGGCCTGAGGCAGGAGGTCGCTTGACGCCAGGAGTGTGAGGTTGCGCGTGAGCGAGGGCTGACGCACGGCAACTCACTCTAGCCCGGCAACAAGTGGGAGATCTGGGTCTCAGAAAAAAAAAAAAAAAAACAAATAGGGAGAGAGATGGTTACCAGTCAGCCGTCGTAGTTCAGGCCACACTAGAGCAGCCCTGAGCGGCAGCCCGGCCCCTTTGGTCTTGACAGTTGACAGGGCTGCACCAGGAGAGAGAACGTTCTGCGTGGGTCACCACGTGGAGAGAGCCGTTCGGAAGTTGAGTTGGGTTCTTCTAGCTTCATGGCCGATCCACTGAGGTCCTCCTACTCTGCCAAGTTTCTCACTGGGGGGTGGCCTTCCTGCCTCTTGAGTTGGTTCTGGCCCGAGACGGGCAGGCTAGGCAGGCTGGTGGGACGTGAGCAGGAAGCACCTGGGCCGGCGCGAGGCGCTGGCCGAGTCCGCTCAGGCGCGCGTGCCGGTGGCCGCCTGGTGCAGCCGCCGGCATCGTGAGTCGCTCAGCGCTTCGTTCCCCTGGGCAGGCCTTGGTGTCTGCCAACAGAGCTTCGGCAGCTGCACCCAGCAGCGATCAGTTGACACACAGGAGTTGGAACTCTCCACCATGCCCGGAGTGGCCTCTACTTGCTGGGTGCAGATTTTATCGCAAGGCAGGCATTGCTCCAAGTCCGGCCGAATGCGGATTTCCAAGTTTTTGTGTCTTCTTTGCTCGTGTTGCCAGTCCAGACAGGCCATGGCAATGTCTTCTTGAGTCATTTCCGTTGTGATAAGAAACGAAATTCAAGTTCCACATGCACTTTTTTTTTTGAGCCAGATCTCTCGCTTTGTTTGCCCAGCGCGAGAGTGGAGTGCCGGTGGCGTAAGCCTCCTACAGCAACTCTCAAACTCCTGGCTCACGCGACTCCTCCTGCCTCCAGCTCCCGAGTACTGGGACTACGAGGCATTGCGGCCACCCATGCGGCGTCATTTTTTCTATATATTTTTAGTTGTAATTAATTGTTTTCTATTTACTAGTTAGAGAC